AATAAACCTTAAACCTTAAACCCTGCACTGCCCTGGAAGCTCGTCAGAGGGAAATTCAGCATGATAATAATGAGGGACAGTGAAAATAATCAGTGGGTCGCTTCCAATAGAACAGAACAGAATAGGAATGGAGAATAGAATAAACTTTATTGCCACTTTGAATGTACTCCATGCACACGTGGAAATGTATGACTAGTTTTTCTTTTTCTTTTTTCCTAATTATTTGCATTGGGATTATTCCTTATGCTATTTATATTGTTTGTATTTGCTGTCACATGATTGCACCAGTGAGGCTAAAACCAATTTTGTTGTATTTACTTTGTACAATGACAATAAAGGCTATATTATACAGTACTATACTACACCAATCGGCATACAGTAGAAATGAAATTTTGTTGCCTACAGGCTCTCAAATAGTCTCCACCAATTTTACCCTACATAAAACATGACAAGATAAATAAATAAATAAATAAATAAATAAATAAATAAATAAATAAATAAATAAATAAATACATACATACAAAAAGTAGGAGTTGTGGGCGCTCCATGGCTGGAGGCTTTCAAGATTTGAGTGGGGTGGGGACTAGAAATTTTAGGCCTGGATAACCTTGAACTACGCAGTCTACATGCCAACCTGAGTTTAGTGCACAGGATAATCTGCCACAACCTGAGTTTAGTGCACAGGATAATCTGCCACAACGTCCTAAATTACCTAAATGTAATCCGTTTTAATCTTGATTGCAGGAAAAACAACTTCAGCAAGAGTAGTAAATGTCTGGAACACCCTACCTGATCCTATTGTTAGCTCCTCTAACCCCAATACCTTTGACCTTAAGCTGTCTACCGTGGCCCTTACGTTTTTCTTAAGAGGTTCATAACGGGAGCGTGCATAAGCGCAACGGCGTGCCTACTGTCCCCATTTATATGTACTCTTTTTATGTGTTTATGGTTGTTTTGCCTATTTATATCCATTTATTTGTGCCATTTTTCTCAGATGTTTATATATTTGTTTCCTTGGACTTGTGGACTAACAAAAAATAAAATAATAAAGTAAAATAAGATAAATAAAAATAAAATGAAAATAAAAAGGTCCCTTCCCGCTCTAAGTTTGAATTCGGAAATTTGAATTGAGGCGTGCGGCGGACTCCGCCCTAGAGCCGGAAAGGGCGGAGCGTCCTCCTTAGGCCGGGCAGGACACTTCCGGCGAGGACCAAGCGCGGCCCCTGCCGGCCAGGAGGAGGAGTCCCAACTGCGGCCTGCAGGCTCCCATGGCGGCGGCAGCGTGGCGGAGGGCGGCTGAGGCGAGTGGGGGCTCCGACGGGGGTGGGTGGGTCGGAGGGGCCCCCTCTGCGCATGCTCATTCGTTTTCTTCGCAGGCCTCCGCGCGGGCCCTGAGGGGCGCCTGGGGGTTGCCGGTCGCGGGCCGCGGGTTCCGGAGCAGCGCCGTGGCGGAGAAGGTGAGGCGGGAGTCCTCCTGCGGGGGCGGAGAAAGGGGCTTCGGGCGTGGTGGTGAAGGGTTGGGAGCCGCCTGGCCCACGCGCGCCCCGCTCTCCCTTGCAGTGCCAAGCGGGCCGCATCCGCCCTCGGAAGGGGAACCAGCCGGTGACCTACGAAGAGGCCCACCCGCCCCACCACATCGCCCACCGCAAGGGCTGGCTCTCCCTGCACACCGGTGAGCCCCTCCCCCGGGATAGGGGTGGGTGGGCTTCCTCCCCCTCCGTTAACCTCAAGGCCCCTGGAGCCCCCTCCCCACTTAGAATAATCCCCTGTTTTGGGGGTGGGTGGGGGAGCTGCAAAGGAGAGGAATAACAACACCAAATACCCCACCACTGCCAAAATTTATGGAGCCAGGGGGATGGGAGGCCAGCAGCCTAGAGGTCAAAATGGCTTTTCTAAACATAAAGCATGAATTTAATGTTTTATATGAGAGGTCTTCAAACTTGGCAACTTTTCAGACTTTATGGACTTCAATTCCCAGCACTGAATTTGCAAATGTCTTCCTTAAAATGCCTCATTACCTTCAGCATCCACTCCTTGCAAAGCAAGAGTAGCTTAGATGAAAAGCTCTGAAGACTGGGGGTGGGGGTAGTAGAGACCCTTGGCCACAAGATTTTGCATAGATTTTGGACCCTCCTCTATTACACTATAACAGAGGCCGTCAAATTTAGCAACTTGAAGACTTGTGGACTTCAACTCCCAGAATTATCCAGCCAGTATCACTTACTCTCTTGTAATCCCTTCCTCTGCAATCTCTCCACTTAGGTCAGAGGTCTTCAAAGCAGAGCTGGCTGGAGAATTCTGGGAGTTGAAGTCCACAAGTCTTCAAGTTGCCAAGTTTGGGGACCCTTGTAAATTTAAACGAAACGGCAGCCGCAATAAGTCTTTGCAGTGATGAGAGATGTCTGGGAAATGGTGTTGGGTGAAGTCCTTTTCCGGGATCTGACTTGTTGTAGCAACAGCGTGTGGGGTACTCTGCAGAATACCCCTCTCCGGCTCAGCCCCAAGGCCACCTCGTGCATGGCGAGAAAAGGACAAAATAAAATAAAACGGGCTCTGTCGTCCTTGCTTTGCTCCTACAGGTAACCTGAACGGGGAGACGGATGCAGCGGATCGCACGCTGGAGGATGTCTTCATCCGCAAGTTCCTCTTTGGCACATTCCATGGCTGCTTGGCGGAGGAGGTGGTACTGAAGCGCCGGGCCAACACGGTGATCATCTGCACCCTCCTCATCCAGAATCTCCCTCCCCATAAGATTTACTTCCTGATCGGCTACACGGAGGTGCTGCTTTCCTTCTTCTACAAGTGTCCTGTGAAGATGGAGGTGCAGACCATCTCGGAGAAGGTCATTTACAAACATCTTTAATCCTGGCGGAGCTTATAGTAGAAAAAGGTTCCTGACTCCTGATTGGTATTGATGCTCCGCACTGGGCCCAGTGGGGGTCCTTGCTCCTTTTGCCCTGGAACAGACTGATGTTTTCTAGCTATTGACTTCTCCTCCAGAGACCGGAAAATAGATGGAAGTGCCCAGAGATAGGAGAAATCTTGTCCATTCTTAGAAATGAATTGCTGAAATACAAACGAGGAATTTGTGTCCCTATTTGTGACTCTTCTCTGATCTTTGTCTCTTAGCTGATCTTGGCCCGCATTGCTCTCTGTAGCATGTGAAAATCATTTCACTTTGCTTCGTTGAATGGGGTGCCCCTGGTTGAGGTTGCATATAGCTAGTGAGCCGGACTGGACGAGGTGGCTCAGTTTCTGAGACACTGAGCTTGTCGATCAAAAGTTCGGCAGTTTGAATCTCTAGTGCTGCATAACGGAGTGAGCTCCCGTTACTTGTCCCAGCTTTTGCCAACTTAGCAGTTTGAAAGCAGGTAAAAAATGCAAGTAGAAAAATAGGGACCACCTTTGGTGGGAAGGGAACAGCGTTCCGTGCACCTTCGGCATTGAGTCATGCAGGCCACATGACCACGGAGACGTCTTCAGACACTGTTGGCTCTTCGGCTTTGAAACTAAGATGAGCACCGCCCCCTAGAGTCGGGAACGACTAGCACGCATGTGCAAGGGGAACCTGAACTTTTACCTTAGAGAGCCTGCAGGTTGCTACCCCAGGGCAAGTGGAGGGGGGGGATGAGTTTCCGCTGAACAGAAGTTGAAAAAGCTGGACTGTGGCTGCTCCGTTTGCCCCCCTTTCACCCTTTTCTTTCTTCACAGATTCAGAGCAAGCGCTTCAGGATAGGAAGGAACCTGGTCTGTAAAGGCTTGTGGGGCAGAGTGAAGACAAACAAAATGGCACCAAAGGTCATGCTAGATTCTTTTCAGGCAAAGGGCCAGAATTGAACCCTGTGAGGAGTTCTGGGATAAGCTGGCTGTGAAGATTATGAACTTCACAGCCAGCTTCAGGCAACCAGTGCAGGAGGGCCTGGGGTGGTAGAAATGGAAGGACAACATGGAAGGTTCCTGGGGGAGGGCAGAAAAATGCACTCTGGAGAAATTCTTGCTTCTTTTTCTGGAAAAAAGAATCTGTTCCATGCACTTCCCTTTAGTTACAGCTTGTAGGTAAAGTATTCACAAATAGGATGAATAATTTCCTGGCAGCCCACATCCGAGCATAGCCCAGGCATGACCAGTAGCACAGCTTGAAGCTCAGGGTGGCTTCCTGTGTAGTGAGAGTGTGGGGAAACATGATTTCCATCAAAGTCATGCTTCCTTCAAGTTGCCATGTTGTTTCAGGGCTGAGTAATTGGCAAAATTCATATGGACTGGTGGTATCCAAGGGTCACAGCGGTTTCATTTTGTGCTAAAAACAAGCAATGTGACCAGCAGGTCCTTCCTTGCCTGATCTCAAAAAAAGCTCAAAAGAGCCAATCCTGGTTAAACCACCAAGGGAATCTCAGGACAATAAACCAGACTGGGATTTGGGCAAAGAACAATAGCAAATCTCTCTTCCCGGACTTTGTCCAGAAATTGAGCTTGACTTGAAGGAGATTTGACTTTTTTTCTAGAAGATAAATAGAGAGTGACGGAATGTCTCTCCGGGAACTCTTCTTTCCCTTTGAAGTGCTTCTGCTGGTGGGTCTCTGTGTCAGCTCAGCTCCAATTCCAAAAACCAGGTCCCTAGCCTCGGGGAAATGACCATGGAAGTAGTTTTGCTTGCCTGACTACCCCCCCCCCCAACTGAAAGGTGGTTGGCAAAACAGCTGTGCCCCTTGGCCACCTCTTCCACCATCTGCTCTGCACAACGTGTGTACCCAGTGTCTCCCAGTAGGCCAGGGCCAAGGGGACTTGTGAGGGAGTACTCATGCAGGCTTGGAATTATGGCTAGGACAGAGAGGGAAGACTCCCAGTGGTCGTGGGGTAGGCTCTGTTTTTGCCAGCACAAGCTCCTTCGGATTGGAATGGCTGCCTGTTTGAGGTCAGTCCAGCCTAGGGTTTCCTTCCTTCCTACAAATGAGGATGATGGGCAGGGAGCCTTAATTGTAAAGTGGAGGCTCACCTCTGCGGCTTGAAAGACAAATTCATTGAAGGCTTTCATCAGGATTGTGTACTTAACCGAATGACTGAATTGACCTCTTGGGAATTTACACAAGATTCCCATTTTTTTTTAAAAAAAAATCCAAGGTTAATGGCTTAGCCTGCACCGGTTTGCTGAGCCAGCGTTTGTGGCTGCATCTGATGTCAGCCAGTATAAAGGAACTCTGTAAGGTCATCCTGTGGCGTAGGAGGTTGCTCAGAAGGAAAGGTTAGGGCTGCAGATAAGAGACTTTGGGTGAACTGCAGTGAAGAGTGGCACTCGGTTGCTTTGAACCCTGATTCTGCTTTACAAGAGAGGGCATGGGGTTCCTGGCACTGCCAAATGTACAAAACTAATGATGCAAGCAGAGAAATGTGCATGTGGCCCATCTCCAGCTTCCTAATGGCTTTAACTTTGCCCTTCAGAGTCCAGAGCTTAGAAGCCCCCAGGAAGCTAAGCTGGGCGGTGGGTGTGAATATGACTGGGCTTAACCCAGATCGAATTTCTATTTCCCTTGGCTGGCTGTCTTTCCATCAGGTGTGAACCGGTTACGATAAAACGCCAGGGCATGTTGTGTCAAGAGCGGAAGATTGAAATTGGCTACTGACAGTCTGGCCGTAATCCTTGCAACTGAGTGACCCTCTGTTCTTCTGGCCACCGGCCATCTGTTTTCCCAACCTGGCCGTTCTGTTTCATAAACTGCCACTGAAGAGGCCCAGTTGTTTTCCTCCGTGCTGGTGGTGTCTGGAGCACTTCCTAGTGAGCGCACTGTTTGCTCTGTTGGTTTATGCCTCAAGATAGAGTTTAGAGCCCTTTTTGCCAATAACATCCATGGGAGTAATTTGAGTGAGTCACAGAACCAGAGACAGCTTTATTTTTAAATCCCAGGACGGAAGAGCCAAGAGCCAAGAGGTGCACTGCCTTTATTGGTGGTTTAGTCATTTTCTCTTCCTTCACACAAGCCTTAATCTGTAATCCATGGCTCCCTTTCTCTTCTCTGCCGTTGGGCTCCCTTCCAGGAAGAATTTTTAAAGACTTGGTTTTGCTTTAGGTGCTTACCAGTTTATATGTTTTACCAGGCATGGAAACCCACCTAAGTGCCTGGACTAAAACAACACCAGTGGTGGTTTCTGGCCGGTACGGCCATACTGGTGGTAGTCAGGAGCAGCGCCCCCCCCCCCCCCCGGAGTTCCTTACCTGTTTTTGAAGCAACCGTGCGAATTGTGCCAGCTCGCACAAGGAGCTGGGTGTCGCAGGGTGGTGGAGTGGGCATGTGTGCACAGTGCACATTAGGCACATGTGCAGCACATGCCCGGCCTGTGCACGAACAGACCACGGGCAGTGTACTGGTAGCGACGGTAGGAGCAACCCACCATTAACCTCCACTCCCCCCCAAAAATACATGGAGGTTTTCACAGGCCCCCTTACCCCAGGCTTGGTCTTAACAGGTCTCGGGAGACTTTTGGTGACCAAGAGCGGGCGCTGTGTGCGCCTCCCAGGGCAGCCTTCCACAATCTCGCAAGATGGCAGCCTTCAATTGAAGGGAGTGGCACACCCATTCTGCCCCATAGGCAGAAGCAGTGGGAGGCAGTTCCTCATATACCAGGCCCTGTGCACAAAGGGCTTTATAGGGGATGCCAACACTTTGAATTGGCCCTGGAAGCTATGGGTTACCTCTGCAGCTTGGGTAGCTGTGATATAGCATGGGCATAATGAGGGGTTCCAATTATTGCTTATGTGCTGCATTCTGAACCAGCTGTTGCTTCCAGATGATCTCCAAAGGCAGCCCCACGTAGAAGGCTTTGCAGTGGTCCTTAAAAGTTTTGCATCTTCCAATGTATTTTTATCCACTACTAGATGACAATTTCGTAGCATAAGACCTGCCCCCGGGGAACAAAGATGCTTGCAGCTGGTGCTGTTTCAGTTCAGTGCATGGGAAGTTTTCTCCTGGAATAAATATATATACTTTTGGTCCTTTAGCAACGGATGTAATTGCCCACCAATAACATTGGACCCTTATGCTGTCACTTAGTTCAGATGGTGAGTTTGGTTCTGCTTACTGCAAGCATTAAAATAGGGTGCATTGGTACAAAGTGCTAAATGATTTACCATGCAACAATGGATTCACACAACAAGAGCCGAGGTGGCGCAGTGGTTAGAGTGCAGTACTGCAGGCCACTTCAGCTGACTGCTAGCTGCAGTTCGGCGGTTCAAATCTCACCGGCTCAAGGTTGACTCAGCCTTCCATCCTTCCGAGGTGGGTAAACTGAGGACCCAGACTGGGGGCATTATGCTGACTCTGTAAAACTGCTTAGAGAGGGCTGAAAGCCCTATGAAGCGGCATATGTCTAAATGCTATTGCTATTGCTATATTAAACTGACATTCATTAGGTTTATATCCCATTTCTTCCACAAGCACACCCTAACCCTTTGTTTCCTCCAACAACCACCTAGGTCAGAGGTCTCCAAACTTGGCAACTTTAAGACTTCTGGACTTCAACTCCCAGAATTCAACTCTGGGAGTTGAGGTCCACAAGTCTTAAAGTTGCCAAGTTTGGAGACCTGATCTAAGTGGAGAGATTGCAGAGGAAGGAATTATAAAAAAGTAAATTATGCTGGCTAGGGAATTCTGGGAGTTAAAGTCCTAATCCAATAGTTTTAATTGCTACACTACATTCTAAGCTTAGTATTTTGTGTGAATCGGGCCTCTTTCAGCAGAATGTAATACATCTTCCAGCTGATGTTATGTGATAATGTCCTCAAGTCCCCCATATTAGCTAGAAATTCACAAATAGTAAATGTAATCACCCTAGGCTCTCCCTGTTAACTTCAACATTTGGACTTCCCAATATGTGCAGAGAAGATAGCTCATAAGCAGTGCTTTTTTTCCTGCTGTAGCACATGGCGCTCCCATAATGCTTACTTTTTCATTATTGCAAAATTGGAAGGTCCCAGAAGTCCTGTCTGATACTTAAAAGTTGGCTCCAGGGAAAAATAGCTGTAGGGCGATTTTATATATTTACAATTATATTTTATATATTTACAATTGAGCATTTATTTAAAAAATGGGGTCTTCTCAGCAATCT